TATAAAAAAAAAGCCCCCCCTACCCTTAACACACACACACACATAGCCCCCATACACACACATACTGCCCCATGCTGCCCCCCATACATGCCCCCCCATACACACATACCCCCCATACTGCCCCCATACACACATACTGCCCCCATGCTGCCCCCATACACACATACACATACTGCCCCCATACACATACTGCCCCCCCATACACATACTGCCCCATACACATACTGCCCCCCATGCCATACACACATACTGCCCCCCCCATACACACACATACTACCCCCCATGCTGCCCCCCCACATGCACATACTGCCCCCATACACATACTGCCCCCCATACACACATACTGCCCCCACACACATACTGCCCCCACACACATACTGCCCCCCCATGCACACATACTGCCCCCCATGCACACATACTGCCCTCATACACACATACTGCCCCCCATACACACACACTGCCCCCATACACTGCCGCCCCATACACACACATTGCCCACATTCACACACACACACTGCAACTGTTACACACACATACTGTCCCACACATACACTGCATCCCTGACATACACTGCCCCCCCTACTCACACACTACAACCTTCACACACACACACACACTGCTCACACACTGTCCCCCTCACACACACACACACTGCACCCCTTACACATTGCACCACTCACACACACCACTGCTCCTATGCCCTACTACCACCCCATTTCCCAGCAGACCTCAGGTAAGTTGTCAAACTGTTCTTAAACGGTTTGACTACTTACTCTAGGAGGGGGTCCCGGCACTATTGACACCATAACCACTACACTGAGCTGTAGTAGTTATTGTGTCTGGATTATTTCTTTAAATAATCTACAAGTGCCCCTCCCGAGATCAGGCTCTGGATCCGCCACTGGTCCTACCAAGACTTAAAATGAAAGGTGTTAGTAGTAAATCATAAACCAGTAATTGCAATGAAGAAAAAAATGTATATTAACAAAAAATCATGCATAAACTCAGTGCTTGTCCAAAGAAGATATAAATTATCATGAAAGGTACTGTATAGCAAGGATTGTTCAAGAGACCCACAACACAGTTTCATTGTGGAAGGTGGTGTTTGGCCATTTAAATGCACCATAAGAAAGTGGGTTGGATAGGTTAATTAAAATATAATTATAATTATTATATATAATGCCTAAATATTAGAGTATTGCAGTATGTAATGATATTTTTTTATTGGACTAACATAATACTTAAAATACAAGCTTTCAACAGTTTTCCTCTCTTCCTTAGGTCTGAAGCACTACTGAATTATTATTATTGCAATACTCAGCATTACTTCAGACCTGAGGAAGAGAGAAGAACTCTTGAAAGCTTGACTTTTAAGTATTTTATTAGTCTAATAAAAAAAGTAACATTACATGCAATACTCTGATATTTTGGCATCTTTGCTACTAGACTAATAAAGCTAATCCAATCTACATTATATATAAAGTGTAGATTGGATTTTATATATATATATATATATATATATATATATATATAAGGCTGGGCCTGTAGTTGTGGGAGGGGCTTGGGGCCCCTTTATAATAGCTACCAAACCTCTCCCACTTTACCTTTGTTGGTCTGACGAGTGACCCCTCCCACCACTCCCTTTACTCACATCACCCTCTAAGGTAAGCACTCTTTATTACAGGCCTACTGCTTTGTCGGTTCTGGCACACCACAACCAACTGGTGTCACTATCCATTGTTATGTTATATAAGAATTATATATATATATATATATATATATATAAGAGTGAACTGTAATGAGCTTGTGTGAACTGTAACGGAGCTCCAGTACTCCGACCGAGTACCTCCGCCAAGTCTGCTTCCTTGTTGCTATCAGGGACCCTGAAACACTTCAGACCCAGACGCCGAGGCTTGACTGGGATCACTTAGGGCCTTTTCCACCCTGGACCAAACACCAGACGACACATGGTGAAGGTTAAACAATGAATACAGCACACATAATTTAAGCCCCCAACAGCCTCATTTACATACAATAGGTTACATAGATTACTATAGTACAAGGAAGGGTGGGGTCAGACAATAGCAAGGGCTGATGGGAGAATGAGGAGGGACAGAACAGCTAGTTTAAACTGGTCTGGCAGTGTGCCTGGGACAACGCCCTGCTGGGGAAACAATAGGACAGGAAAAAGGGAGGAGGGGGAGATGCACAGACTAGCAATACATTCAACATGCCCTGCACAAATAATAGGCACAATGTGACAAAACACAAAAGGAATTTGGGAGCCCACCCATAGTGTCTGTCTTCCATCCCCAGTGATGGTGACTACCGTCACATGAACAATGCTGATTTCACTGTACTAGTCAGTGGGGGTGCTAGACGTCGTTGAGTGAGCATGTGTACTGTGTGGCCATCGCATTCAAAATTACTGAGTGAGAAAATTAATGAATCTGCAGCAAATTTTGTGTTAAACTTTCCTCCACGGAAACTATTCGGATGATTCTGAAGGCTTTTGCAGATGATGCAATGAGGGCAGCACAAATAAAAGTGTGGCACAAACACTTCGGTTAAAAATTTGTTGAAAGATTTGGCTCTCTGCGACTTCTGACTTTCCACAAAATTAAAATCACATTTGAACCTTTGAAAGGGAAAAGATATCAGACCATTAACGAGATGCAGCTAAATACAATGAGGCAGCTGATGGCGATTCTAACAAAGGATTTTGCAGAGTGTTGTTAACAGTGGAAGAGACGCTGGCAGAACTGTGTGAGGTCCCAAGGTGCCTACTTTAAGGGGACTGAGGCGTATTGTCACATGTACAATGATTTTTGTATTGCGTATCTTCTTCAATTGTTTAATATAAAATAGTTGTGTTTTTTTATTCATTAAACTACATTTTCCATAGCCACAACTCTGAACAGGCAGGGTAAAACTCACAGCAAGTATTCTGCTTACATGTGTCTGTTACGATTCCATATAAAAATACGATTTTAAATACCCGTTTTTTGACATTCTTAGTGGGCAGAGTGGTTTGCTTTGAATGCTTGCTGATGGTTTCTTACTAACAATATAGTTAAATTGGTGTCATTAGATTAATTAATCTTAATTCATGTGCACTGGCACTGTTGACATCAATTATAATTATATAATCACCTGAAAAATTTAATCAACAGCATATCTACTTTAAGTTATCCCCATAACATCCGAAGATGGTTTCATGAATGTATGAAACCACACCATTTGATTGACACCTTTTCACACATTATATTTCACACATGTTTTTGATTGTAATCAAATGCTTATTACCTCATTTCTATTTTTGCAACACAGGCTGATATATATACTTAAATAGAACTCAATATCTAAGTTATATTTTATTTTATTAAAAACACCATACCATCATTTTTGGTGGCAACCCTACTGGAGCCTTTTTCTAATACACTTCACACTTGTCTCCACACTTTCATCAGTGCCCAAAATATACACTACCTGAAGGGGATTCCCCAGTATCACTATCTTGCTGGAGAACTTACCATGTTTTAAAGATTTAATTAGCAAGGACATCCCACCCTCTCCAAGCTCAATGCCTTTCATTGATGTACAATAGGCTGGTGAACAATGGATGCCTGCTGTACCCATCCTGCACTAATAAGTGGAAAGATTAACTGAATGCAGGATATTTCTTCCAAACTATGCAATAGGTGATACAGGACTCAAGTAGCTATTCATGCCCATAATCCGCCATTCCTCTTCTCACTGTTGGCTATCTGCTCCCCATCTGGTAGAGCTGTTATCTAATTGAAGGCTTCCGGAAAGAAGTTTACTCTGTGCTTGAGAGTCAGCCTGATGAACCCCTGGCTTTCATCCTTGTGGCAATGTTGCTACATCATATGCAACTCCCATTTCAGACATGCAAAGGTTTGGTTGTGCCTCAGCTGCTGAATGTGACAAAGGTGGTCATCACGCTTTTTTGGTGTTAGTCACACAGCCCTCTGTGGCTTGATCAATTGAGGACATTAAGGAAATATGGCAGTGTGAGGACTATGTGCTTCTAATGGTCTGAGATAGGGAATGCTATGCCCAGAAATGGCTTTACTGGTTGGGATTACTCTCTTCCCCAAAGGCTGCTAAGTACCTGGATGCTCATGATTAATACTAAACATAGCAGCAATTTGTCGCTGGTGGGTTGCCCTGCATGGAGTGATGGTGGCTGTGTCCATGCCTTAATACTCATGATTGAAACTTCCCCTTCGGTGATTTGTTGCAGCAGTCATCCTACATGATGTGATGCTGGCAAAGACGATACCTTTACCCTCTACCTCCCCTTTTCACATGATTTCATCTTTCTTTTTTTCCTTTCTCCCTATCTCCTCCTCTTTCTTTATGCACCTTTTTCTTTATTTATGGCATCCTTTCATCTTCTAGACTGTTCTCTATGCCTTGTACTCAGTCTCTTTTTCCATGCCATTTATTTGTGACCCTTGATTTTGGTTCTACTTTTTTAAATGTATGCTTTCTAAGACATATCTGCCCGATTAGTAGTAACCAATTCAATTATAATGGGCATTTACCTAGATCCACTGGTCTGATGGTGCCAGGAGTCGTTATGGATTCTCTCTCATTGTACTATGGTTGTAGTGTTACATTTGACTTATTCACAAGTTTCCTAATCTGTTGAATGTTACATACTCCTATTGTCTTTTTTCGACTTTAATGTTTATCGAGATTATCATGTCATGTCTATGTTATTTCCTGTACTTCAAATCAATAAAAATGCTTTTAAACTAAAAACACCATATCATTTCACTGTGATTTAAAATTAGAACCGTTGTTGCTAAAATCTCAGATCTTTCTGAAGATTAATACAGATAAGAATTGTGTAAACCTCCTTACTAGTGATGTCCCGAACGGTTCGCCGAACGGTTCACGAACGGTTCGCCACAAATGGTTCGCCACGGACTCATCATTGAGTAAACTTTGACCCTGTACCTCACAGTCAGCAGACACATTCCAGCCAATCAGCAGCAGACCCTCCCTCCCAGACCCTCCCACCTCCTGGACAGCTCACTAAGAATGCAGCTAAACAATGAATGTAAAATGGATGCTGTCCAGGAGGTGGGAGGGTCTTGGAGGGAGGGTCTGCTGCTGATTGGCTGGAATGTGTCTGCTGACTGTGAGGTACAGGGTCAAAGTTTACTCAATGATGAGTCCGCGGCAAACCGTTCGGCGAACCGTTCGGGACATCACTACTCCTTACACATTATATAAAGATGATAAACAGCAATAAAACTCACTTCAAGTTTGGACTGACCCATTAACTTTAGAGGACAGTAAAAGTTGTTTTTATGTGGCAAGTAGGATAATGGCAAAAGGGTGTTCAGATTTTAAGCGTATTGGAGATTTAGAGGGGTTTAAGTTAAAATTTGTATAAAGAGGTGTTTTTAAGTGACACTATAAGTACTATAACTGCTATAGATTATTGTAGTGGTTATGGTGCAAGGAGTCGTTTGCTCTCCTGGTACCCAAAGCCTGACATTTCTACGGTCGCTAAGAAAATGGAGAAATTTCACTTCATTATATATCTGTTCAAGTTTGGATGACAATTATTGCAAGTAGGAAATTGGAAATCCTGTGTTCTCTGTGGTTTATTTGAGAACGTAAAAAAAAAGAACTGTTTTCCCACAGAAAGCATGTTAGAAAATTCTTTTATCTATCACATTATTTTGCTGTATTGTATTTCGCTGGCAACTGTGTGTTCTATTTTTGTTAAGAGAACTATATTGTGAGTCAGGATAGAGCTACACAACAGTTTGTTTTCAGTCAAATAATCCAAAGGATCCAAAGGAATGCAAACAACAATGGTAGCCTAAATCAGGCAGCTGGTAATCAAGGGGCAAACCTTGCTTGGATATGGAAGAATAGAAATTAAAATAACATAAGCAATACTGAATGATGGGAGCAGCAGGTTATTGAGGGGAAACAGGTGGGAAAGAAAGTGATAACAAACATAGGATGTGGCGTTCAGAGACTCAAGAAAGAACATTTTTTGGGGGGTGTTTCTCTAAACAAAAACCAAATAACCTTATCCACAATGTAACGTTCTTACTATTTATTAAGATTACACCCTGCAACACACAAAATACTCAGCAAATGGAATGGCTGATATATTTATTTAGTAGCAGATCTCTTTTTGCACGAGCATATATTTTTTCCAACTGAGAATTCAAAGTGAATTTTGAATTTATGGCCATGGTAGCTGAACTGTAAGTACAGCTGACTCATATTTTTTTTTCCAGGCTGGCGATTTTGACCTCAAATTTGAAATTCCCTTTTATTTCCCACTTTAGTAAATAACTCTGAAATTACTTATTTAGTACTGGTGGCTATAGCATATTTTAGTTTTATATTTCACCTTTCACCTTGTGGATCAAACTGTGTCCAGGTTTATGTACCCCCTCTTAATCTCATTTCATCTTTCTCTCTACCTTCGGGCATTGTGGAGGAAATCTGTTTTTGTTGTCTAACAAGCTCCAGCCTTTAAAACCGCCTTGAAAAAATATAAATGAAAAGTCAATAAACCCACAGTATATCCCTATGGATTTAGCAACTAAACAATTATTATCAGTTTCATTCTGGCTCTAAACTCCAAACTGCTACTTCACAAGTGTCTGCCATTAGCTTGTACAAATTAAATAACACTTAAAACATAATAGCCTCTTAGCTATTACTTGTTGTCTTCCTATAAACAACCTGTTGGCTTTAAATGGAAGAAATGTTTAGTGTGGCATTTCACATAAACTACTGCTAGTAATGTTTCATCAGCTTGTAAACTTCTCGCAGAGTACATTTTTCTAGCATTCATAATAGTTCCAGTTTGCCAACTGATAGCTCTGAATTGCTTTCAATAGAATAAAACCTCTAGTATCTAAACATTATCTTCGCTATGAGGTTCTATGGGATTCGTGAGCAGGAATACTATCAAGCTGCCATCACATGTAAATGTGTTATTTGCAAAAATGGCACCAAAGAATTACAACCGAAGTCTGCAATGCCAAATATTTCAAATATCAGTTCAATGTTTAACTTCGAGGTTGCCATCAAGTCTGACTCCTCAAAGTCATATAGCAGCCGTATCACTTTTTTTCTTTTTCTTTTTTTTTCTAGTGCATCTTGTATCCTAATAGATGTACCCCATCCTGACTCCACTCCTCTGCCACTTTCCTTTATTTAGATGTATTGTGTTTTTTAACTTGTACCAGATCTCTATATTTGTCCACAGCCATTTTGTTCTCCTAAACCCATAATGTCTGCTGTTGGTCCTTTTGTAGGATTTATTTTACAGATTGATTGTGGGTAGATCTGATTGACATCTTAAACAGAACCTTGCTTTAACGACCACTCCACAGTCAAAACAACAGGGGAACCGAAAAAACAATCACGGTTTGTAGATACACCCCCAGTGAATACATGCATTTATTTTTCTAGCATGCATTCATTGGGGTATCTTCTTAAAAGAACCTGCAAAAGATGCAGTTCTGATTAACTGTAGCCTTTGCAGGCCCTCCCTTTTTTCCTTAAAGCCATCTTCCCGAACACACGCACCAACTCAGAAAGAATGCTCGCATGAGAACGGGTATTCGAGGGGAGGCAGACACACTCTTCTGAGCTAACTGAAGCAGGAAGAAAAACTCCCTGGCTGTTTGATTGGCAGTGTTCCACTCTTTAATGATAAAAGTGCCATTTTCTCATAGAAATTTGCACTTTTATAAAGTGCCTTTTTAATATGACACTCCTCACCAATAAAGCACTTCATTAAGTTGGTCTGGTAAGTTTTCAAACAAGTAGCGAGCAGCATCCCCAATGGGAGCCCAATGAACTACTGTTAATCCATTCCCCATCATAATCTTACGTATGTGATATAAATAATGCATTTTTAGCCTTTGGCACACATAGGCATAGGAGCACATATATACATAAATATAATGCAAATTAATGTAAAGTGATGACAAAGGTTGATAATAAATAAAAAACAATGGTGCAATACCATTCATGAATTATAAGTGAATATAAAATATTTAAGTCCAAAGATCTGAGCTTGCAAAATTCACCACCAGCTATTATTCCAACTTTACTATTTTAATCTAAACCAAACATTTTTGTGTTCAGTTGATCCAGATTCATTCACTTTTTAGCACATTAAGCCAATACATTTGTGAATACCTGAACTCAGTGTTGGCAAATAGATTGCGGCTGTTAGGTTTCTTTCATTATTCTCTGATATGATTTATATTATATATTTAATTTTTTTACTGTTAACTCAACAGAATGCCGTGAGCAGTTTTGTTTTGGATAAAATATTGATGTGAGTAATGCTTTTTCTCATTCATAACCTTATGTTGAAATGGTACTCCCTTCATGATGCTACAATGTGTCATAATATCCTAACAATATTGAGCTTTAATGGTGATGGAACCTATTAATACAACTTAACATATTGGTGTGAGCAGGGTTAAATCACTGTTAACATCAGGGAGTTCCAAAGTGAGCAATACGTACACCTTTAATTCAGCATTTAAATCCCCATTGGCTGCAATGCAATATCAATCAATACGTGGCTCTCTCCTCTGTCAGCTGAAGCCACATTTAGTGGCCACAGGATAACCGATGAGCAGAATGCAGCATTTAAAATGAGCACTGTTTACAGCTATTTATATGAATTGAGAAACATGATTTTTGGCTTGCAGCTGATTGAGGGAGGCTCCCTGGATCTGAACAGACCCTGACTGGGTCCTCCAGCATCCCGCCCCATGTGCTTGTTATCAATGCTGGGCTTTGCCACCTGCACAGCACTGGTCACACTGTGATCGGCAGATGTTAGGTATACATAAAGGATATTAAAAAAGCCCTTTCTGTCCTTTAAAAACAATATGCAATATGAAACCCTTACATTATAGTTAAAAAGTGCAAATTCTAAGTTTTGTTTTGGTTCAGAACTTAATTAATTGCCTCCATCCTTAAGGGGTCGATGTCTCTTTCTTTATATGCTTTTCAATGTTTCATGGATAATTAGGACAAAAAAAACTCTAGATGCCTAAAAAAAGTTGTTAGATAAAAATAAATTTCAGTTATTATATGGCGGTCATTACTAATACATTGAAACCCTGGAGGTTAAAGGTGTCAGCATGGAGAGGGAACATGAGAGAGAAAGACATACACAAGATTAGTAATATAAACTAGCAATTGCAACTTTAATTCTTTATAAAACTTACTTTTGAAAGCCCACCAACTTCAAGGTAAAAACAGATAACAAATACATTCCATGCAACCCAGAACGCTGTCCAAATCGTGTACTAGATACAAAGGAAAAGGAAGATATTTGTAATTTTTTTTTTAATAAGATAAATAATTAGTAACACATAGAGGGTATTTCTTTTGACATATTTAGAAAAAACAAAAGAGTTTTATTAAACACATCAAACAGTACTTAAAGTGAATAGAAAATATATGATGAAAAAGTAGTCACATGAATGAGGAAAGTCTAGTAAGGATGATTGTAGAGGTATCAACTTTATAGCTAAAAGCAGGGACTGAAAGTAAATGAATGTTCATTGGGAAGTGTAAACATGACAAAGACTTGGAGTAATTAAAAGAAGACTGTCCACTGGGACAAGCACACGGCAGCAGTAATCATAAACATAATGTCAACTGCCTGTCTAATTGTCTGTCTTTCTCTCTATATTTCAATTTTATATTTTGACAGTTCTCAAAGTTAAACTATTCTACATTAACATTACATACACACACGTTTATATCCCTAAATTCCAAGCAATTAATGTAATCATCTTTCATCAATCCTATCTATCTAATTTCCAAGCTATACCCCTTACAGGCATTTCCAAGCTACAACCCTTACGGTCATCTTTGTCACTGTCTTAACAGCCATGTCCTTGTCCTAACATATGGCTTTGACCCTCACTGACAAATAATGCCTGTGTTTCTTACTCCTTCAGTAGCAATGACCTTGTCCCTATCCTTCATAAGCCATATCTCTTTCTAAGTATCCAACACAGCCGAAAACACTTTTTTTCTTCCACATTAGACAAATCTAGCTTACTTTACCTCCCCTGTCGTGTATTTTTTTTTATCTTCCCTGCTATGGACTTTATAG